GCATTCAATTAGTTCGGACAATTATATTGAACAAATGAAAAACTGAAATTAAAATGAAATAAAATACAAGCAACAATCAAAAATTGAACTATTAACAAGAGCTGAAAATTAAAAATTATAAACAAGAAACGAAAATTAAAAATAAAAGATTCCAAGTTCGTTTACTTTGTTTGAAAGTGGTTGATAATAACAATTATATTGAACAAATGAAAAACTGAAATTAAAATGAAATAAAATACAAGCAACAATCAAAAATTGAACTATTAACAAGAGCTGAAAATTAAAAATTATCAACAAGAAACGAAAATTAAAAATTAAAAGATTCCAAGCCAAGTTATTTCACGACGTTTCGTTTGTTAGTATTCACAATCGTCTTCGGGTGATGACGGGACTTATTCCTCCGAGATCTGACTATTTATATGTCATTCGAGTGCTTTCACTTATCCCCTTTTCCCTCTCTCCACTATATCGGTTTTAGTGGGAGCTGACCGTTTGGAGGTAGTTGGTCGTGATCCCCTTGATTATAGGTTTCCATATGTTGCGTATCTCTACGCTAGCTTGGCTAAAAGCTTTGTTGGACAACATATATGCATCTTCTTTGAATTTTCTCCTAAACCAGTGTTCCTCCCTGTGTATGATCTCAGCTTGGGACCACTCGATGTTGTGTTGGGTCCACACATGTTCTGCTTTTTCTGATTTGCTGGTTTTCCCTCGCTGTGTGTGTTTTTTGTGTTTGGCAATGCGAACTTTTAATGGCCTCTTAGTTTCACCGATGTATGATTCTCCGCACTCGCAGGGTATCGGTTAAATGCAAGATCTGAGGCAGGTTCTGATGTTATACTCAGACCCATTTTTTCTTATCCTTTCCAGCAATGCTCTGATGTAGAGAAGTCAAGTACTGGTTGTGGCGGCTTCTCTTCCTCGTGACGCTCTTGCTGTTTTCTAGCCAAACTCTAGCCACTATCACTTTGGAGTAACCATTCCGTTGAAGGTCATTTATGATGATGTTAAGTTCCTTTTTGAAACCTTCCTTTGTATTTCAGAGCCCGGAAGCATGGTCTATTGAAGTTTTTATGATTCCTCTCTTAGATGATTGATGGTGGTTGTATTTCTGGTTCAGATACTGTCCTGTCTGAGTGGGTTTTTGGTATAAAGATATTTTCCATTTAGTATCGGTCCTCTTCACCAAAACGTCTAATCATGGCGATTCTTTGTGGACTTCCGTCTCCATTGTGAAAGTGATGGAAGAACCTACGTTGTTGATGTGCTTCAATCTGGCCATTCATGTTCTGTTTCCATTTTCTTTGAATATGGTTCAATAACAAATAATTGAACTATTTTCGACGTATCATTAATTTTCTCTCCACTAATTTCTCATTGAGAATCATTACTTTTACTTTCAACCAATTCATGCACCATTTAATATAGGTCGAAATACTCTTCTTGATGTGTCAACTGACCCTTTGACCAAGCCACTGAAGATGACTGCCGCAGTTGCAGTTGAAACGTTTGGAGATTATAACCAAAGCAAAACGACCTGGAAACGACCAGAACAATGAGCTGTTTTTTCGATAAAATATTTCATTTTTTTAATTCAGTCCTAGTTGTGATTGAGGTTTGTCCATAATTTTTTCACTTCCATAGTGGAAATGAATGTGTTTCACAATCAATATTATAGTTTAATTAAGACTATTTCCATTTAAATGCATCTGTTAATATCGTTCAGTAGAAGTAGACTGAACAAGAATGCTACTAGTTTGAAACCGTTTGAAACTTTATGTACCGAACTGTAATTTTTTAAATCGGGGGAAATATAGAAACAGATACAAATATTACCACACCGCCGATATTAAATATGATAATGTTTAGAATGGAAGCTCTCTTACCATGCCTCAACAAGTAGCCGATACGGTTCTGTTGTAGCTTTCAACAAGTACCTACCTACCAAATATGACAGCAAATAATGAGGAACAGAATAACCAACGAATTAGTAGACACGCAATAAATAGCAAAGAAACGAAGCTGTTAACAACCATCCGATACAAACCGTATGCTAATTTTCTAGATGTTTGATCGGGCAAGGCCATGATTTGATAAAGGCACATTCCGCTGTGGACAGTTAAGTTCTTCCTGCTGGAGATTACCTGCAGACCACACGGAGTGGGTCGGTAACTTTTTTCCGGAGTCTCGCTCTTCGAGGTTCACGATTCCAATTTACATCCAGCAGGCCTAATACATCCCCTCGAATAATTGTTATAATATTAAATTTACATTAAATGGAAGCACGACTGGCTGTCATAGCTTCTGGAACAAGCAGTGTGAGGTGGTACCGGTTACCTTCCGTTTGTGAATCATAAAAGCAAGACACGCCTCTATTTGATTTATGCCGGTGATTTCGCTGTTATACTGATTTGAAAGTGGTTCGATGAGATGGCGGCAAGAGTCGGAGTTGTGGTCTGTAGACGATCCGAATTAGAAATGACCTTCACCCATTTGTTTAGTAGATGAAAAGTTTTTATTTTTACATGAATGCTAAAAAATAAATCGCCTGATAGTTCACCGATGACTCGTGATTTCTAATTCGTAAGCTGTATTTATGTTGACACAGGTAGCCCGCCTTTCTAGTTGGTGAAGCATAACATAAAAACAGTGTTCAAGCCCACCAGGAAAATACGGTAAAGCCTGAGATCTGCGAAAGACAAAAGAGATCCACTATCAGCTGAGGGGGTATACCGTATACCCATGCACCTGCGGAAAAGTTTATATCGATTCCACCAAGAGATCTATGGGTACAAGGTTGAATGAACATCGAAGAAACTGTAGATTAGGTCAAATGGAAAAATCCGCAGTAGCGGAATACGCATTTAGTGAAGGAGATCATACGATACTGTTTCGAAATGTGAAACTACTTGCACCCGATCATGGATACCACAGTCGGCTGGTACGGGAAGCCATAGAAATCCATAAACATACAGGAAACTAAAACAGATTTGGAATCTCATACTAAAAGGTGCTAAGGTGACAGCAGTGCAACGCATCGTAACAGGTAATAACACTTCGGCCAAATATGCTAAGGTGGCAGCAGTGCAACGCAATGTGACAGGTAATAACACTTTGGCCAATAACAACGCTCCAACTAGAAAGGCGGGCTACCTGTGTCAACATAAATACAGCTTACGAACTAGAAATCAGGAGTCATCGGTGAACCATCAGGATGAACAGACCTCTGAAGAAGCCAGCCACTCGGACTGGCGAAACGTTAGGATACAGTTCCAAACCACGACGGCCTTCAAACTCGAACAAAGGTCGTAACAATGAAAATCTTGGCCGCGAAAGCCTTAATCAATTTAAATTTCAAATAAATCGAAACCATGAAGCGCTTCTTATCTTCGAATTTAAATAAAACAAAGTGTGTGAAATATCATCAAAATATTTTATTCGTTTGGTAGACCTATTGATTCCATTATGTGTGGAATATAACATCGTTCAAATGTCCATCACGGCTTCTCTAAGTGGAGCGCAACCGGAACGTCCACATTTCTATGAATCTGGCGTGGATTATGTTGGCCCTGAGGAACACTGTGGTTTGTGGCTTATCCGCATACACCTGCGACATGAAAAAACCTCACAAGAGAAGGTCTAACAGAGTCCAACCGCACGATCTCTTTGGCCAGTTAACATCACCTCTACGTGAGACCACCATGCCTGGTGAAACCACAGGTCGTTGGTGTCCAGATCATTCAATTTAGACCGAAAGAAGTTGTTAACCTTCGACCTCAAGGCCGTCTTCAACCTATTGGGGGCCCTGGACATAATAGGGCCCCCCAAAAGCCTAATTTTTGGCCGAGAGTAGAATAGCTTCGCGCATGTAGAAGCTAGTAAGTTGGTATTGTCGTCAGTAATTTAGGTTTGATTTCTTCGAATTATATACGTTTTTTGGTAATAGATATTGGGTATCGTTTGGTGATCTGACAGGAACTAGGGATTTTGTATTTGATTTGAGGGGGCCCCTATCACTGGTCGACCTATAGTGCTCACCGTTGACAGTGATGGCCTGAGCAACAGCGTTCTCAAAAAATATTGATCGAGGACACCGCCAGCCAAAAACCCACACCAAACAGTGACTTTTTTGGAATACATTGGACGCTCTTGGATCTCCTGTGGATTGGTATCGTCCTAAATTCGACAATTTTGTTTGTTCACGTAATCATTCATACGGAAGTTGGTCTCATCGCTGAAGATGATTTTTCGATGAAAATTAGGGTTAGTTGCTAACTGTTACAGAGCCAACCGAACGCACGCCGTTGTCTATGATCGTTTATCCTCAGTTCCTGCGTCATTTGAATTTTGTACGGGTGCAGGCCCAAATTACGACGCAAATTTGACCAAGTTGTGGTTTACGCAAGGCCAAGTTCTTTTGAGCGACGCTAAATCAACTGTCTCGAATTCTCCTGCACAGCGGTGATGTTTTCGGCAGACCTTGCGTTTCGTAGACGTATGGGTATTGGTCGATCATTTACTGAGCCGGTGAACTCAAATTTATCCACTACAATGTGAATTGCCCTCTCGGTAGGACGACTATGGCTACAGTAAAACGGGCGGAGCTCGCGGTATGTTGCTCAAACAGAACACCCATTTTTTATAAAACAATTTTATTATTTGCACATGTTGTTGAATGCTATGTCCATTCATGGTGATTTGGCAATACAAACGGTTCCAAAATATGTTGCTTCAACAAAATGGCCGTTATCAATTGTTAAATTTTGGAAGTCTCTGTTGGAAGATCTTATAGAATTCCAAAGGAAGAAAGAATGCAATTCACTTTAAACTCTTTACGAAACTACACCCCTTCCAGTTGAAACCTTCATTTGCATTAGTTTAGGAAGAAATGCAACTTTTAATGAAAAGGAAATTGAAGGTAGATACTAATAACGATTTTTAAATCATGTCAACATTGGATGGTTGGAAAAAATTCATTGGATGAATCAAAATAAACTCACTTGATCGGGCCTCAGTCCAGGTGGAACCCAGGTGTACTCCTCCAAAGCACATCCGCTATCATCGTCGCTCTGGGAATGTCTTTGGGGATCCCCCGTCGAGGGTGCGAATGGTGAACCTTTGCCTAAAAATCTGTCAGTCGGATCCAAAGATGGTAGTTTACCGCCAGGTGAAGGAAGAGCAGGAGGAGAGATGGGGCCTATTCCAGCATCGTTGGCACTGGTCATGCTTGAGTCTGGATATGGACAGTTTCTGCACACAGATCTGCAAGATAAAAATGACAATTGAAATATTTGGTCCAAGTAATACCATTTCCTGAAAACACAAACCCAACATAGTTGAAACACCTATGTGTTTTATCGAAGGAAATAAAGAAAATAATGAATAAACAAATTCTTCTTTATCTGGACAGCGGCCCTACTGAATCCTTGCTGAAAGTAACGGATGACATTCAAATAGCTGTTGGCTAAATGAGTTATGTTTACTAGTACTCAAACTGCTCAACTCGCTAGGCTAATTTCGCAAACTTTTTTACTAACAAAATAAAACCTCACTTTTAACACTCATATCATAAATGCTATCAATGATGTACATGAAACGCGTGAGTGTGTTTTTATTATACTCAAGATTGTTTCTTACTGGGTAATTATTCAGATAACCTCTCATAATTGTTTTTCATATTCGAATCAACCAAAAAAATTTGCGTAATACAAAATGAAAACTGGTGGGTAGCATAAAATTTACTTCTGAAAATTTGCGTTATCTCCACATAGTTCATCATTCCTTTCACATGTTAGAAACCTCTTCGAATACAACAAGAGCACAATTGTGTGAAATCGACGGCGTCTCTATTCCTAATGAAACTGTACCAGAAACTTAATGAGGGTTGTTAACCAAATCATTAAAGGCTATTACAGTATCAAGCGGATGGTGGCCATTAACTGCATTTCATCAAAGTTATACGGTATTTGTATGTAACGAGTCATCACATGAAATATATTATACATCTTTATTACTATTACCATCTTTTTTTAATACAATTTAATTAGTTTGTTAATCACATCATGAGCTTTAATAGGCATTTCGATTTTGTTCACGAGCATAATTGAGGTTTGTATATTGACATTTCTGATATTACGGGTTTTGATCTTGTCTTAGCTCATCAGAGTATTTCCAATGTAATTGAGTTTTATTAGTAACAGGAAAAACTGGAACTACTGGCGTGGAATAAATCCATAACAAGAACTTTCCCAAACCACCAGAAATGCGATACTCTACTCAATGCGCCTTTTCCGGAGATGAATAATTTTTTTTCATCTCATGAATACGCCAACGCGGTTGAACACGTGTCGAGGAGAGTATTGCATTTCTGTTGACTGGGAAAAGTACTTGATTTGGAACGTTCATCAGCTATGTGGGACTCAAATATGGTAAGAGAGACTGTGGCAAAAAGTTTTGCCGAAGGAGGAACATTTATCACAAGCAAGAGTTTGAACTTGAAGCCTCAATTACAAATGGAACTCAACGTATCCAACAACTGACCTCTAATGAAAATATCAATAGCATTTCCGCCAAAGCTACCACAGTACCTTGAATATGGAAAAGAATATTGGAGAGTTAGAAACTAAAAAATGAATCGAAGCATAAATTTCGAATAACTAGTAGTAGATATTTATTCGATATTCCACGCAGAAAAAAAGATTTTGTTAGGTTCTTTGACACTGTACTGGTTGAGTTTGCCGACAGTAATTTCAATATTTTGTGGGTCCATGCAATGTTATAAAACAAATTTTCTACTGTTTTCGAATGCATTAGCCGTTGCCTGAAGGTTTCTATCTGGCATTTCGTCTGCTACTACGGCAGACATGCGCAAACTGAAAATGGTCCTGGAGCATTTGTACTCATAATGGGACTAGGTGTGGAACAACCAACTGCTCTTGTACCTGAGTGATCCGACCCTTCTTCAATTAGTGAGATAATCTTTGTGATATGAATTGCCGTTACCCATATCTTGTTGATGTTTGAGCTCTCTTCTTTACGGTTGGAATCGATCTCATGTTCATGCCTGTTGATCTTCTTTTCCTTCTTGTTGGAAGATTTCTCGCGTTCAGCCTGTTCCCAAAAAGGGTAAGAAAACTCTTTCAAATAACTAAAGACCAGTCACTTTGTTATCAGTGATATCAAAAATCATGGAGAAAGCCGTAAACCAACATATCCTCAAATATTTGGAAGGCTTCAACATCTTGAGCGATCATTAATATACCTTTAGGAAACATAGATCAACAAACGACCTTCTATCGTATGTTACCCATATTTGAAATAACACAAAGAAACATGGAAAGTCAAGAGCTGATAGAGCTGATAGAGCTTGATATTTCTAAGGCATTCGACCGCGTGTGACTTAAGGGTTTGCTGGCCAAACTTTGGCTTGTCGGATCATTTTTGTGTATGGTTCTTCAGCTTCCTGAAAGAGCGTTCCCTGCAAGTGGACGACGACGGATGTATCTCGAATACTTCCACCATCAATGTTGGTGTTCCCCAGGTATCCATATCGTCTCCAACCCTCTTTTTGATGTATATCAACGACTTATTGGAAAAAACCAAGAATCGTCATTACATTTGGATTCCAGGACATCGGATGTGAATGCACATCTTCACCGGCAGCAGAAGGTTGAATATCTTATTGGGGATCTGAATACTCGAATTGGGGTAAGAGTAACCAGGTTCAATTCAATGCCACAAAAACCCAGGCATCGATATTCTCGAAAAAGAAAAATGTCTCCGAATCGGATATAATAATGTCAGGACAGGCAATTCCGCTTTCGCTTTGATAAGTTTGTTGGAAATGAAAATGGACACCTATGTCTTGGCACAATTATGTCCCTGGAATTGCATAGGCTGCTTCTCAAAAGATTGCAACACTGTTCCGAACCAGAAAACTGTACACATCTCTGCAACTTTTGATGCTTTATAGAGCTCAGATCAGACCTTTTTTGGAGTATTGTTCTCATGTATGGAGCTCCGCCCCCAAACATACCCTGAAGCAGCTGGATTCCATCCAGAAAAGAGCAATTCGCCTGACTGGAGACGCAATCTTGAAAGTCTAGAACATCGATGAAAGGCTGGAGATTTGTCTCTCTTCTACAGATAATTTCAAGTGACTTGGCGCATTTGATACCACCAAGAGCGGTACCTATCAGAAATACGAGACGGACTGTGGCTGCTCATAGTTTTGAGGTTCAACTCAGTTCACCTTGTACTTCACTGTTCAAGAACTATTTCATATGAAGAACGGCGTTTATGTGGAATAAACTTCCTGAATAAACTTCTAAATCCAATATGAATCAGTACTTTCGCACAGGCACCGCCTCAAGGATTTTTCTGTAGTGTTTGTGTTTATTCTCAGAAAAATATATTTCTATGGCCTCTCTGATTGTAACCTCTAGTTCTATGAAGACATTGCGTGCGTTTGAAGGTATTGTCATGGCTGCTCTCTTCTTTTCGTGGTTCCGATGTAGAACAAACCACAACTACACGGTATTCGGTATACTCTTGGTGTACTCAATACCGAATATCGTTAGAAATATACTCATATATATCACGAAAAATGATAATTGAAATTTCCTATGTTTTTATACCACTCTTACTTGTAACTAACGTTAGTGCAGTTTCGTCCTACTAGGACATTTTCAAACAAATACAATAAACTAAAATAATTAACAATTAACACCCTTAAATACCTATACAATCATAGTAGTTGATAACAGATGGTCCTTAATGACCACATTACCTGAATTTTGTTTACCTGTGACAATGTGGGTTTTAAAAATTCCTGATATATAAACAGGATAATCATGAATTTCTATTAGTGTTAATAAGTATTTCATTAAATTAACGCATGCATTTTCCTGGGATAGTACACAAATAATTAATATTCAATATCTCAACGAAATACAGTGACACAAATAATGTCTATTATAGTATAACTCATTATCTTCCTCTGGTAATTATTGAAATGACCATAGGACTGAACATTCACTACAGTAGATACTGATGTTAGAACCATTTTATGATACATTTACTGAAAGAAATCGCCTAAGAACCCAATTAGAAATTGTCAATGTGAAAAGATTTATATCAATATTTGTACAAAAAATCTATTCGTGTTTAATCTACACTGCTTGTTAGTAGGAGTGGACGATCACTTCATTTGTTTCAAGTTATACATGCCTTGTCGTAAAAAACAACTAGTGATTCTGAAATTCACATTGATATATTTATTCAATGAAAAATCTAATAGTTATCATGTAAATTTTTTGGTGCCATCATTAACATTAAAAAAGGGGGTATTTTCTGTACACTTGAAAAAGTAGTGAATACATAGTGTATCTAGATGTCTATACATCTTTGGTACATCGTTTTGAAGTAAAGTAGAGAAACAAATTATACAATGGCTCAATATTATCTGTCTTGGCGTATTACTAAGATGTAAATCCTAATGTGTCATTGGCAATGCCGAACAGTGTATAATTTCCAAGTAGATCATTACATATTCAATGTTGAATGTTCTAATCAGAAAATGAAATACTTGTGTGGCATGACCTCTATTGGTCATAATTACTTCAGACGATTTCCCGAATACATTATTTCTAAAATTGACAGGTTTCAGATTGTGTTAGTTTGCAATAGCATGATGATAGTGACAAAATGAATGAGGAAGCATACAGAATTGAAAAATTGGAAGAAACACGCTGCAACAGAACAATTTCAATTTCATCCTCGATTTTAGGAGTGGGTATATTTCTGTGTTTCATTATTGTAATAAAAAGTGGAACTCGGAACAACAAGTACGAAGGTATGTTGAAAAAGTTTATCAGGAGTTGTTTTTGAATACCTCTTTCATTTCGTCATTTACTGATCTGTCTAAGATAAGAAGGGTTAGCGTGAGAAAAACCGATACCCGTGAAAGATATAAAGTCGTTCAAATTACATTTTATTTGAGTGATTTTTCAAGATGTACCAATTGATCGAATATGGTGATACTTCAATATCTCTGGAACTAATCGGAGATTTCCAATTTCAAAAATGCCAATGAATAATCTCTTGAATATAAACTTTCACGGTTTACAATTTTCTAATGCTGGTCTGGCTCTATTTAAGTATGCTCTGTTCAGAAAATGAGGTGAATATTTAATTTTTCCAAAAAATATGAACGAATATGGTGATACTTCAATATCTCTGGAACTAATCGAAGATTTCCAATTTCAAAAATGCCAATGAATAATCTCTTGAATATAAACTTTCACGGTTTACAATTTTCTAATGCTGGTCTGGCTCTATTTAAGTATGCTCTGTTCAGAAAAATGAGGTGAATATTTAATTTTTCCAAAAAATATTCCTTTATAATTTATACCACGTAAGAATACGTTGAAACTGCCTATCAAAATGGAAACTAGTAAAGTCGTACATTAATTTGCCAAATATTCGTATGAGAATCTTTCCATCATTGATATTGTGAAATCAAGGCGAATAATGGCACATTCTCCAGCCTAACATTTGTTGCAATTCTTATACTTTTTAGATGTTTGCATTTTCATTTTAACATTTACTTTTTTCGCATTTCATTTTTACATATTACCTTTTTACATTCTTACATGATTATATTTTTACATTTTAACATTTCCACAACTTTTAATTTTCATAAGTTGAATTGTTAAATACATTTTACTCGCACTGTTCTGATTCTAAATGTGAAACAGTAATACCCACGCCGAGGGTGTCCTGAATTTATTCAGATTCTTCAAATTGTTATTGACTGATCCTTGTACAGAAAATTGAATAAATCCATATCATTATCATCATTATGATTATTATTTATCAATTTATATTTTGCCCCCTTTAAGATAGGACCTTGTACCAGCATTTTTTCCAATCCTCAAAGCAGCCCTTGTATGCAATTTTTTGGGTACGTCTATGAGCTCCATCAGCGATTCGGTTTTTATCTCCTCAGTCGTCGCAAAAAAACGCGACTTCTTGGGAACAGAAAAAAAATTTGCAGGGGGCAAATCTGGTGAATTTGGTGGCTGAGACATGACTACTTGTCAAGAAATTCAGAACAAGCGATGACGAGTCAGCGGGTGCGTTATCGTGATACAAAAACCATTATTGGTTTTACCGGAATTTTTTTGTATTGTTTCTCGTAAATGGGGCATAAATCGGTACTAATGGACTTTGGTTTCGATGTCATTACGATATACCCAAGATTCGTCACCAATCATGATCCTTTTAAGCAAATCTGGATCGCCGTTTCCGCCATTTAACAATTTCTGAGCGACGTTTGTTTTTGGGTCAAAATTCAGCAATTTTGGAACGAAGTTAGCTGCTTTTTTCATAAACTACACCTCACGATTTGATCTCCACAAATTTATTTGAAAAATATATTACGACATATTTCGCTAACACATTAGCTTCTTCAACAGTGATTTGAATACTACAAGTTGCTTTTCACGCTAATATTTATATACCAGTCGGACGGTAGCCGGTCGGTTCGACGTGGGTGCTTTGTTCAGTCAATCAAATCAACCGCCGGGTTGGTCGCTGGTTCAAGCCCCAGGCAAACGATCGATTTGTCACTTGTTATCGTCCAACCCGTGTTAGGAATCACACGTTGAAAGGTAAGACCTCGTTAGTCCTTAGCTGGCACAAGTTTTGACTTCTGAGGGTTGTTGTTCGTGTGAGTGCGACAGCTGGTTAACGGAAAAGCAATTAGGAAGTTAGCTGCCACAGGTTTCATGCCCAAAATGTCCGAATAAATGATAATAATAATGATAATTTCTCTTTAGGGCAGCTGCCCGAGCAGCTGATGAAGTCGGTATAGTTTTCGACACTGAACAAGGTGACCACAATTCTGTCACCGGGTTGGAACCCGTTAAGCAAAAAGCTCAGATGAAAGTAGCTGAGATCACCTTACTTCTGCGGAAACATAAGGATAAGCCAATTCATGGGGTCTTCTTCAATAACATTGGAAACCTTGGCTTATCAAAGCGCCTGACGTTCGCTTTTCTTAGGTCGAGTGGTCTGGAGTCGGAAACTGAGGGGTTCATCACGGCTTGCCAGGATGGTGTCTTCAACACCTTAGTCTACCGCAGTCACGTGATGGGTATAGAGTTCCTGACACAAGGTGCAGGGCCTGCCGCGAGGCGCCCGAGACCCTAATGCACTTGCTATCAGCATGTCCAGCATATGCGGTCTTGGCCTGACATAACGCGGCCCTAAGACTGCTATATTACCATCTACGGCACTCTTACGGTATTGAGAGGCACCGGTGTTGCCGGGGGATATCAAATCCGTTGTGGAGAACGAAGTGCCGAATTTATTGGAACTATTCGTTCTCCACCCTCAGGCTCATACAAGCTACACCCTCAGGCTCATACAAGCTAATAGGCCTGATGTAGACCACCAGAGCAAAACGATATTTGTCGTAGAGTTTTCAGCTCCTGGCGAGACAATATCGTCAAAAAAGAGGAGGAAAAACGGATAAAATATCAAGATTTTCTCTTCGAATTGCGCAGACTCTATCCAGATCACTCTGTCAAGATGGTTGTTCTGATTATTTGGAGTCCTTGGCGGAATGATGCCCTTTCTACTCTCGAATCTTGAAATCATACCGGCTTGCCGCACTAAGGCAGAAATCTTAGCCCCACAGATGCAGAAGGCTGTCATTCATGGTTCACTGCGCTTGCTCAAGGCACATGATTCTTGAACCCAATGATCACTCACCCCACGGTGTGGGGAGTGGTCACTGGTTGATAATGCTGGCGCGCCCTTTCGAATGTATCGGGGCTTCGGGGGATAGGGCCTGACCAGCGCACACTACGGTGAAAAAAAAAATAATAGCGTTTTATTCATTCTATTACAATAATTATCTTAAATCTACTAATCAGAAAATGAATGAAAGAGAAAAAACCACAAGAGAATAAATCCGTGCGTGGCATGAATTCTTTGTTCAAACATTAAACGTGAACAATCCTCTAAAATACAAACGTTGTTCAGATCTGTTCAAATATAAAAGAATGTAAATCTAAACGATCTAATAACAAACCAAATGAATCTTTGTTCTAACATCTAACATGAACATCATCCAAATACAGATATTTTCTAATTTCCTTCAAATATAAAAATAAATAAATCTAAAAATTATTGATACTAGAAGATTAAAATCAACCAAAGACCAAACAACTTAAAGTGAAATAAGATGGTAAAAGCTTCAGTAAACTCACATTTCTATAATATCGAATTTTTATATCAGATTGAGGGAAAATTTTGGCTTTAAAATCACATAAGAACAATTACATCAGAATAATTACATCTGCAGATTATATTATGAGCAACACACCATGCAAGTCTATAACATACTCTGCTTGTAGCTATAAAGCTTTCTAGTGTTTCCAACGGAATAATGAACAGCCAAGTTCTGATTATTTTGTTGAACATTTCGTATGAGTTGATAGTTTTGAGTTCGGATGGTAGCTCATTAAAAACTTTTGGTGCAACATTTATGTCCTTTCATTTTTATTTTTCTGGATATCAGGTGCGGAATGGGTATCAACGAAGATTTATGTCTATACTGCCTCGAGAGGATCGCAAAACCGAATATCTGACTTACATTCATCATCGTCGTTTCTCGATACAAGCTACAGGACGGATATTCTTGCAACTTTTCATATATCATTTTAAGAATGCACTTTTGAATTTTCTGTAGATTATTGATGAGTGTATTTGAGGCTCCTCCTCATGAATTTCGTAGCTTGAGCCAACCGACATGCCGATCCTCAACAATCCTTTAATAGTGATTTGACGATTCTGCATAACAATGTCCTTCACTTTCTCACTATTTTCATGGGTTGTTGATGTTCTGCGGCGTCCAGGCATTGTCATCCAGAGCTAGCGTCGTCATTCACATATTCTCGACCTTCTGTGAACAGCATGTATCATTTCAAAACATTTTTCTGACTCAGAATACAATCACCGTATGCCACTGTCAACATTTCAAGTATTTTTGGGCACCTATACACTCAACACATAATTTGATGTAAATTCCTCGATTCATTTTTTTCGGTAACAGAAAATGGATGAACATGCAAAACACTTAAGGTTTTGGTTGGTTTCCAAGTTTTGCCGAGGTCTTCGTTGGTTGCAATAACCAAACGTTTCTCCTGCAACTGTGGCAGGTATCTTCAGTGAAGTGGTCAAAATACTGTTCTCGACTTATCAACTGAGTACTTCAACTACGCCACTGAAGATGCTTACCGCAGTTGCAGTTGAAACTTTTGGAGATTATAATCAAAAAAGACCACGGCAAAACCCGGAAACCAACCAAAATATTGGCGTCAGTAGTGAAAGGCAAAATTCCCATGAAACACCTTCAACTTGTATGCCTTTCACCAACAAACTAAACACGCTAAACATCCGGAACTGTGTATGTATCTGCTATTCAATGGACTGGATATATGAATGAAAAACATGAAAAAAACTGGCTAAACAACCAGAGAAATTTTGATGTGTGTAAAACATATTCGTTCTCTCTTGATGTATCATCCACAAAAAAGCAAGAAAAATCATCTGATAACATTTCCAGAAACTGAATTATGTAAGAAGTTTAAGAAACTGGCCTCAGAACTGATTTCTGAAGTACACCAATTTCATGACGTGACGTATCTCCAAAAAAAGGTTCCATTGAAATTCTCTGAAATTATGATAGTGAACAAATCTAAAATTTCACTATTGCTCAAGCTAGTCTTCACCTGTTCTGAACGACTCTCATTATACGCAGGTTTTATTTTAGGACATGCTTTA